AAAAACAGACGTGCCCACTTTTTTGCCCTGGTGGCCCTAATCCTCTTCCGTAGATTACAATTTTTTCGGGGAAAGTACAATAACCTCAGTTTTAGCTGAATTTAGAAGAAGAAAGCCCTGATACTGAGTTCTTTAGAAGAAGAAACTATTCAATATTTTATAATCGTAAAATAAAATTATTACATAATTTTAACTGTGTTAGTGGTTGAAAAAATAAACTTTGAATGCAGTTTATTCCCTAATCGTTTGTTTAAAAAAATAAAAAATCCTCCACCTGATTCCAAGAATATCTACCAAGGTGGGGTTTTCAGTGCAAACTCATACTTGAAGCTAGAATAAAACATACGACATTGACAGCATAAAAATCTTATAAATAAATTGAATTACTTACTACTGGTCGAAGTATCAGCTCCATTTTCACAATCCAATTCAGATTCGTATTTAAGGAGAAACTTATTTTGCTGTGGTATGGCAAAGGCATATAGTGAGAAAATGCAGAACTAATCAATAACCTTCTTATCTACCTTTCTTTCTTCCGTTTATAACAACATTGGCAGGTTTAAGCACACAGCTTCCTGTACACAGAATACATCTACCCCTTCTCCCTTATCAGATCAACTCAGTTTCCAATTTCCACTAAGATAAAAACATTCATATATATCTACTTTTAAATATGAGACGGCATGCTGAGATAGTTTACTTCAGTACTCAACTACTCCCTTTACTTCAAGTAAGAGACAGCTGCCTTGGTAGAATGTGCAGGAGGCAGGTACAGGACATCTACTCACTACCTCGCAGTGATTTCTGTGGACAGTTACTTATTGGCACAACCGGACATCATGTGAACTTTGTACTAAAAAGCTGGAATGTTAAAACCTGAGTAAAAACAGCTTATATTTTACGGGCTTTTGGGCACAACATACAGCACAACCGCAAAAGGAGTTTCAACCCTGTTTTACAAAGCAAGGTCAGAATGCAAAATGAAAGTCACAGAAAAAACAGGGGGAAACGTCACATTGAGCAGTTCCATAACAGTCTATGATGCCTTTTAGTTATTTTCAGTGCTCTCTATTAGAGCCTGTGAGGGGAAAAAAGAAACGTGTAAATAAGAGACAATAGCAGAATATTAAAAGCTGAAAGTTACCCTTTATGGCAGCTGATAGCTGATGCAGCTAATTCCTGTGACAAATATATGAAGTCTTTATAACATGTGGTGAATGTCAAGGATTTCTTACATAAGTGATCCAAGTGTCAAAATGTATTTAAGTGATGATATCTATTTACAATTCCACATTACATTAAAAATAATGATTAAATGTTATAGAAGGGTGCATAAATGTGTCTTTGTGCATCTCAATAATCTCATTTCAATTTTCCTTTACTTATCTTTTGATCTTTTGAATGTAATATCCACCTGGAAATCTATATAATCTGTATATACTGTTGATTCTGATCTTATATAAGTATTTTTTCAATATGAATTGTCTATAATACACAGGCAACTATTTACACATACAGTCACTCAAAAATAAAATCCAGTGAAAGAGAAACCAAACCTTACTTACAATGATGGTAAAACTGGTCTAACGTTCAAGCGTTTGTCTTCAGTCATTTGGAATATATTAAGATATTAAAACTGGAAAGACAGTAGGATTAATTCACACACAGACAAAATCACCACTCATCATGCTACCTTAGCATTGGCTACATCAGTATAAGCAATTCAAGGTCAGTAATTAAATGACCAGTTAAATATAAAATTTGCTTGGGCATCTGCGGCAAAAGGAAATCCTTGGAAAAATTGGTGAGTTTCTTAAAATTGGTGAGAGAAATTCTGTGACTTGTGTTATTGTTTTGAGGTGGGAAACAGCAGGTCAAGGGTTTATATATCTTTTTATAAAGCTTTGAACATTCTTAACAGCACACTGGTTTCAATCATGGGAGAAAAAAGGAAGAAGTATAGAATCAACGAAAACACAAACAAACAAACAAAAAAACAAACAAACCATCAAACAAGAGATTATCGGTCAGAAAGGTGACCAGCAGCGTAATGGTCTCTCTAACTGAATTCCCCTGTACAGTTTAGACAACCTGCCGTTTGTTAAAAGCACTTTATAAGCCGGACCAATAGAGCCTTGGGACTAGAGTGCAGTGGACAGTAGCCACTTTAAGTAACCAGTACATAACAGTCATACTGGAAGTTGTAAAACTTAATCTGGATCTGAATCTAGAAGCTTTTAAAAGAAATTACCTTTGTGATGCCATTCCTCTGGAGAAGCATGCTGGTAGCAGTGTCATGCACTTATCAGTGGCAGGAAAATAGAAGCTTGTCAGAATTAAAGGGAAAATGAATACAGCCTAAAATAACGGATAACTGAGAGTTCTGGGAATGTGTCCACTGTCACGTTATGGCTGTGTGGCAAGCAGGAATTGGAACCAAACACAAACTCACGGGAACGGAACTTAAACTCAAAAGCACTAGTGATGTGACGTTCTGTATCGAGGCTTCGAAGCTTGTGTCGAGTAATGGAGGGGGCGTTTCCGCGATGCGCGTAT